AATGCTCACTTAATGAAATTCAGATTTAATTAATTTCTGAATACCAACTTTTGTAGGAAAGAACTTGGGAAAATAAGTCTGTTTAAAGGACTTGAGATTGCAAGATCCCATGAGGAAATATTTTTAATCAATTAAAATACACTTTAAAATTATTGGAAGAAATGAGGTTTATTGGCAGATGCATTAACTATTACCCTTCACTCTCTTCTCTTAAATCTTTTATATATGCTTCCAGCGTAACTATTTATTGTTGGTGCACAAGGGAGAGATGAAAGACAAAAGGAATATATTTACGGATACAAAATAAGGAATAATGAATTACAATGACATACCTACTACTAGGATATTTATACACAAAATTAGAGTATAATAAAAATACTAAAATATCCTCTAACAAAGATATAAAAAGATAATCCTAGATATTCCTAAAATATAAATTATTTCCCACAATATCCCTTAATTTATATTTACACAAAAATGACAACACCAATTCCATCCCTCAAACGAAGAAATTGATCAGTCTTGGTAGCCTTTGCTAGAACATCTTCCAGCTACTTTTGGGTGCTACAGTGCACAACTTCTAATATTCCATTTTGAACCTGATTCCTCAGAAAGTGATACTTGGTATCAATATGCTTGTTTCTCCCATGCAGCACTGGGTTCTTGGCAAGATTGATTGCAGACTTGTTAGCAATCATCAATTTCAAAGGTTTATTTACTTCAATCTTTAGATCTTGCAGCAATTTCAGAATCCACATAGCTTGACATGCAGTGAGAGCCCCTGCAATATATTCAGCTTCACAGGTTGACAGCGCAACAATATGTTGCTTCTTGGAACACCGAGAAATAGGACCTCCCAGAAATTTGAATAAGTACCCAGAAGTACTTTTTCTGTCAACTCTGTCTCCACACTAATCAGATTCTGAATAACTTAGAAGTTCTTATTCGATCTTTCTTCCAAGAGGAAATAATAATCCATACTTCAGAGTTCCCTTCACATACCTCAGAATCCTGACAGCAGATTGGTAATTAGACCACTTTGGTTTACTCATAAATCTGCTAACCGTTCCAACTGCATAGCAAATATCAGGTCTGGTATTACACAAATACCTCATAGAACCAACCAACTATTTGAAGGTTATAGCATCCACATCCTCTCCATCAGAATTAGATTCCAACTTCTGATTTGTATCAGCAGGTGTCATAGAAACTTTGCAATTCTCTAGCTCAAATATCTTCAGAAGCTCAAGTTCATACTTCATCTGATGAAAAATGATTCCTTTCTCAGAGTACATAAACTCCATCCCTAGAAAGAAACTCATTTTCCCAATATTTGTCATCTCAAACACATTCATCGGAATCTTCTTGAACTCAACTATCTCTTGTTCATAACTTCACGTGAGCAATATGTCATCAACATACAAACATACTAGAATTATATTACCATCTGAAATGTGCTGAACATAAACACCATACTCCATCTCACACTTTTGAAACCCTTGTCCCTTGAAAAATGAATCAATCTTCAGATTCCAGGCTCTGAACACTTGCTTCAATCCATACAAGGCTTTATGTAATTTGAACATCATCCCTCCATGATTCTTTTTCTAAAATCCAGGAGGTTGTGATACGTATACCTCTTCTTGTAATGGACCATTCAGAAATGCAGAGTTTACATCTAAATGCATCAGAGGACAATTCCTGTTTGCAGCTATTGCAATCACTAGTCTGATTGTTTCATGTCTCGCTACAGGGGCAAACACTTCAGAGTAATCTAGCCCAGGCTTCTGTAGAAAGCCTTTTGCTACCAATCTTGATTTGTGTTTTCCAATTGATCCATTTGGTTTTATCTTCTGCTTGAAAATTCATCTAACATTGATGGCTTTCTTGCCTTTTGGAAGTTCTGTCAGCTTCCAAATCTTGTTTCTCTCTATAGCATCAAGTTCTTCTTCTATGGCCTGCAACCAGAATTTTTGCTTAAGAGCCTTTTTCGTACTCACAGGTTCAGAGTCAACTAACATTGCATATTGAATAACTTCTCCTTCAGAGTCTACTTAATTGTCTTGCAACATGTCAAACTCTGCAAATCTTCTTGGGATACTTCTGACTCTTTGTTGCCTCTGAATTTGAACTTCAGAACCTCGGACACCAGAGCTTTCCCCTTCAGAAGCTCTTGCTTCAGAAATTGGACTTTTTCCAGAACCTTGATTGTCTTCGGAGTCTGGAAAATTCCTAGAGTCTGAATCACCTTCGGAGTGAGAGTCACTACCTTCAGAAATACCATCTTCAAAAGTTGGATCACCTCTACCTTCAGAAGTTCTACTTTTAGAGTTATGATCATCGTCAAAGGCTGAATTTCCTTTAGAAGCTTCTCCTTCAGAAGGTCCATCCTTAGAGTCATGGTTTCCACCAGAAACATGATCATCTTTAGAAGTTTGTCCTCCAGAACCTACGTCTTTAGAGTTTTCCCTTCTAGAAGCATGATCACCACTAGATTTTGGATCAACATCAAAATATAGATCAGAATCGGATTCACCGTCTGACTCACCTTCGGAGTTTCCAGAATCATCATTTTCTGACTCATCATCGGAATCTTCAGCGTCATCTTCTGATTCAGACTCATATTCAAACAATCCTCCAGAGTCAGAACATTCAGAGTCATCTTCTTCCCCTTCAGAATCAGAAAATGACAATTTCATCGGTTCCTCATCAGATTCATAAGCCATAAATAGCATAGGTTCATCATCAGACTCTTCTCTGGTTATATTTGCTTCTTTTGACTTCCTTTCTTTGTTTGACCAACAATCTTTGGCATAGTGACCAAAGTTCCTGCAACAGTAACACTGAACATTCTTCTTGTCAGACTTCTTATTTGCCTTCTAGACATTCTTCTGCCTATCAGAGTTTGAAGCTTCTGACCTTTGACCACCATTAGTTTTCTTCCTGGCTTTTGGCCAAGTCCGCTTCTGATACTTCTTACCAGAATTTACTTTCAGAGCCTACTGCTCTACTTCCCTCTTAGAAGTTCTCTCAGTCATACGCAACTCATACGCCTCTAGACTACTTTGCAGCTCTTCAACTCTCAAGGTGCTCAAATCTTTGGAATATTCAATTACTACCACAATGTAATCAAATTGAGAAGTTAAAGATATCAATATCTTCTCAATGATTACTTGTTCAGAAAGAGTTTCTCCATAAGCTTTCATCTCATTAGTGATCAGAATAACTCTAGAGATGTACTCAGAAACCTTCTCGTTGTCCTTTATGTTGAGATTATCATATTGCTTTCTGAGAGACTGAAGCTTCACCTTCTTCACTGATGCGTCACCACCGTAACATCTGACCAGTGTGTCCCATACAGTCTTTGTTATTTCAGAGTCAATAATCTTCTCAAACACGTTTGCATCCACACATTGATGGATGTAGAACAACGCCTTCTGATCTTTCTTCCTTAGCGCCTTCTGCGTTATCTTCCATGCCTCTATTGTGTCTGCTGCTAAGGGAGCATAGCCATCGGTGATAAGATCTAACACATCTTGAGAATCAAACAACACACGCATCTAGATCTTCCAGCGATTCCAGTTTTTGCCATCAAATGCTAGAAACTTAGAATTTATATCGTTGTTTCTGTTCATCTTCAACCTTGTGCTATTCACTCAAAAAATCACTAAAAGTATTTTCCAAATCCCACAGAATCAGAAAATGATTCTCAATAACACCTCATTGTTCACTCGTGTTTCCCCGTGGATTTTGAACCGGAGCTATAATACCAATTGTTGGTGCACAAAGGAGAGATGAAAGACAAAAGGAATATCGGTTACAAAATAAGGAATAATGAATTACAATGACCTACCTACTATTAGGCTATTTATACACAAAATTAGGGTATAATAAAATACTAAAATACCCTCTAACAAAGATATAAAAAGATATTCCTAGATATTTCTAAAATATAAATTATTTCCAACGTTTATAAGCAAAAGTCAAAATTTCACACTTAAGGTATGTTTAATAAAAATATCAATTGACTGATAAGTTAGCTGATAACTTATAACTTATAGTTGATAGTTGATAACTGATAACTTATAACTTATAGTTGATGGTTGAGAGAGATGACTAATAAGCTAATTAAAATATTTAGTAACATTAACGGTTCAACTAACTTATAAATGTAAAATGACATTAAAAAATACTTAATATATAATTATTTTATTTTAAATTAAAACAAATTATTGAGAAAATATATTTAATGGAGTTTACATTTAATTTTATATTAGAAAAGATATATTTTGAGAAATAGATGCGTAAATGTAATTAAATTGATGTTTTTTTCTTATAAATTGTAAGACGAAAAGGGTATGTTATAACTGTTGCGAGGGAATATATATCTATTCTGCCTTCCAAAAAACATATAGTTAGTTAGTTTGTTATAACTAGATTGTTTTTTCTATAATATAGTTAGTTTGTTAAAGCTATATTGGATCAATGATCTATATAAAGCTCCCCTTTTGTTTGAATTCAGAATATGTAATAATAACTATTTTCCTTTCTTCTTGGAAATGCTTTTTCTCTCATGTCAAAATCTTTGCATTAATAGTAATGAGAATAATTTAATAAAATAACTATTTTACTTCTCTTAAATACAAATTTCTTTAATATTTCTACAAAATTTATATTAATAGGTGTAATTTCTGAAACAATCTGATTCATAAGGATATAAATTTAAAAGGAAAGAAAACACTTAATAACAACACTGATTTATATAACACATGGTAATACATACTACACTTTCATTAAATGAAAATTAAACTCATCATCACATATACATTGTGATAATTTGTTTATACATGATCTACGCCAGTGAAATATCAATACTATAAACCTGGAAATAACAACAACAAAGATTGATATCTATCAAATCCTCTCTTGATCTACACACAACATTGTTTATTTCTGAAATTTAATATTAAGAAAGTGTGTCATAAACGATGATATGGGTGCTAGTTACGAGTGTTGTCATCAGTTTTCCCACCAGCTTGACCACCATTACTCATGCGACCATTTATATAACCACCAATATAACTACGAATATTACCCATAACACCACCCGGAACAACACTGTATCCACCAACCATACGAGGAACACCACCACCAACAACTCCCGGAATACCACCACCAACAACTCTTGGAAGACCACCACCAATACCCGGAACAACACCACCGCCATTGTATCCAACACCATTACCTGGAACAACGCCACCAGCAATACCAGGGTAGCCACCACCATTACCAAGGTATCTCGAATAACCACCGCGATTACCACCATTATCATAGTATCTACCATCAATACCTGGATAATAACTACCAACATTACGAGGATAGCCACCACCAATACCCGGATAATAACTACCAATGTTACCACCACCATTACCTGGATAGCCACCATAATAACCACCACCATTATACGGATAACCTCTGTAGCCTCTATTAACATAACTGACTTTATTTATTCCATTTATCTTGTCAACATTTTCTGCAAATATGTTTTTATTAATTGTATTATATGAGTGTTAATTTATTAGGAAGAAAAAATATATATGTAAAATAAACATATAAATAATTAGAAAAGAATGATATTAAACTCCTATAAAATGGTTATAAAAAAAATAAATTAGGTATTAATTAAGAAAAATAATGAATAGCTCACCCATTTTGGTATTAGTGGAAGTCTCAGTGAAGATTCTAGCTGACACCTCTAAGGACAAAAGAAGAATCATAGCCAGAAGGCTTAGGATGAGGATTATTGCTTTTTTAGAATCCATTTAAAATATTACACTAGACAAATTGACTCTGTTGCAGAATGTTTGTTGTGGTAAACGATGAGAAAACTAGAAAGAAAGTGTGTGATATATATAATGAAAGGATGGAGTAATCAATACGTAACCCTTTATTTATCTTGATATTCATTTTAATGGCCGTCCTATGTCTACCTGGGAACTCATGCAGATACTGAATTACATACCAAATAATCCCCACACTGTTTAGGAATGGTACAGGTGGTCCACCCTAAAGTTTTGATTTAGTAGATACTCATACATGATACATCCGTTGTTGTCAAGAATTCATGATGCATTGTCGTTGGCCATGATCATTCTACTACAAAATAAGTGATTTTATTTTGCTTAGAATAGATCTTATTTCCATTTAGTGGATGAGATAGCCAAGAGTTTCATTAAAAGTGCGACATGAGTTTGATCTCCAATAACATTATTTTTGTATTTTTAAAACTAGAATGTTCGAATCATTTTTCTGCTCGTGTACTTTTGATAACCAAAATGAAATGTGAGTATTTATCTCGGTTGAGAGTTCCGATCAATGTTAGTTTTTTACAACATTTTCATTTAGACATATATATATATATATATATATTTTTTAGATAGAACTATATACATATTTTGTGAATAATCCATATACACATGTAAAACACAGAACTAAAACATTCTATAAAAACAAAAATGCATTGTTTAGAACAAATTCAAAATGGCACATTTACATCTTTTAAACAAAACTAAAATATATATCTAAATGGTTAAACAAATTAACAAGGCAGTAACAAAGAGAAATTAATGTAAATAGGAATAATCTAATAATCTAAGAAGAAACTGACTTAGCATGTCATCTATATCTTCTGCTATGCTATGAATGGTGTCTCAACGTTAAATATTTATAACTTAAACAAAATTTAAATTATAAAAACCCAACAACAATAATAATATTCAACTTTCAATCCTTATATATAACAATATAAATCTTTTACTAGCTAACAAAAACAACAATAACTTAACAACTAAAATAATTTAATTGCATACATATAAATAAAGTGATTATCTTAACCTCAATGGGGGATCTTTGTAGGAGCTGAGGGTGTGTGGCACCCCTCAAAATATTTATGCTTTTAATACTCTACTACTATTAGTGCAGAGTTAAACCATTAATTGTCATGCTTTTTACTTTAGTTTATTGTCAACCGCATACAAGCGATTCAAGTGGTCTGACTTGCTCTTCTTTTTGGTGGTGGTATTGGCGATTCTAATGGTGCTATTTTTCTGTTGATGGTGAGTTTGTGGTTTGAGATCTAGTTCGCCTCTTCTGCTGAGAGTTCTTTGGTGCTTCGGGATTTTGTTTTGGCTTTCTGGTTGGGTTGGCTTACGTGGTGTTGTGGTTTTTTTTAAGGAGGTTCTCTCTTTTTTTAATAGATAATAATTTCATTAAAAAGAAGCATAAGACATACTCCACTCGTAGGTACACAAAGGAAAACCTCTGGTTCCTAAAACATAGGAGAGGAAGAGCATTCCACGCAGAAAAATTACAATTAACGTTGACTTTACAGTTAGAGCTTAACCACGACCAAGATCTGTGAATTATTGTCGATGTACACTCTAGGAAACTAAAAACAGCCCCCTTAAAGATGATAGAATTCCTGTTTCATGTTGTAATAGCATCTCGAAAGAGTATCTCCTTTCCTCTACCATGATTATCAATCTTTGCAATTGTTCGAATTTAGGTATTGAGATTTCAATCTTGTGTTGGGAGGTTGAATAATTATCTTTCGTGCTTGCATCAGTACTACTATAAAAGTATATACAACAATGCTTACGTTACCACCGTCTTTTGAAGCACCGTTGTGATATTTCTAAATTCATGAGCCTATATAATTTTTATTTTTTAATTAAACATTGTTATGTTAATATCACAATTATTAAAAACAACCGTAAAGATATCTTAAATATTTCATGAGTTCGATTTTCAGCGCATGATAATTCGTGATTTCTTCAGTATTTTAGTTGCGTCTTCCATTTTTATTTAAAAATGAAAGAGACACACTAAGGTTATTTCACCTAACCATTGTAATATATTTTTTTGAATTTTTTCAAAATTTTAGTTACTTAAATATTGGTGCTATTTTTATAAAATAACATTAATGTAAACATGATATCACCATGATTGTTTAGTACAATCGTTTTGATATACTGTTCAATATTTTTTTAAAATTTTTAAATGCATAATACCTGACGTTTTTTTAAAATAAAATTTCATTAAGTTATCCATATATCACTATGGTTGTTTTAAGAAACCATATGGGAATGACTTATTTAGGAAACAAAGATAGCACTTATCTCTTCAATTGTATATTTTCATTTCCATTATGAAACAACGTTGTTTCAACCTCCGACGAAACAACGTCATTTTCAACCCTAGCCAAACAACACCATTTTCAATTCTAACGAAACAAAACCAGTTTCAACCCTAACGAAACACACATCTTTTTAACCTGAAGAAACAATGTCATTTTCAATCAACTTCTTTGCATTCATATCGTCGAGAAGGAAGCCTATATTGTTTTCTTCGTTCTTGACTAGCCTTGGGTTTAACTCTCGAGGAGGAATACAAATATTCAGATAATTTTTTTACTTATTCATCAAGTTTCCGGTACATAAACGTTTTCCCCATGTGTCATACACCAAAATTTGCCCTATCATTATTCATGTCCATATCTTTTTAAGTCATTAATTCTCAACCATCCACATGCGGCATTGTGTTTCTTGATATGAGCCCATACATTATAGGTCATTTCAAAAGTCAACAAAAAGACACTTTTTGTCAAGGCAACTTACATCAAGATAAATTCCCCAAATGCAAAAATGATAAAAAAGAGAAATTGTATAGGACATCTTGATCTTTCCAAAAAGTCAAATATCACCTTCAAAAGATGAAAATTAAGAGAGTTGTGACCAGTGCAAATTGGGAAATTTCGAGAAAATGTATGAAGTGCAAAGTGAGCAAACTTGAAATTTTGGACTAGTAGACCTAACTTTTGATGTTAAAAAATGTTCATAAGGTGTTAGAGGACCTCTAAATCCATTCACAAATGTTTTATGATTTTTATTTCTTTTATTTAAATTTTTATTCATTTAAATGCAAATAAAATCAAGTAAAATATGAGATAATGGTATAAGGGTTTGGGCTTTTTGTTTCAATCATCTAGAGGCTCAAGACAACTCATGTCAACCTGTGACAGCCGTGCCAAACTGTGTGGAGTCAAAAGGGAAAGAATTCTAAAAAATGAAAGCTTTTAAAGTTGTTTGACTTTTGTCTGAAAACCATGAATGCATTGTTTTCTTCCATATTGGTTCACCCTCAATTCCTCCCTCTATTTAAGTGCAACAAATCAGATCCAAATGACAATGATCTCTCTGCCTCAAAAGCTTGCTAAAACATCAAAATTTATCAAGAACCCAAGAATTATCAAATCTTATTTTTCAAACCTTCTCACCATAAAAGGCCTCTCTATTCACTCTCAACAAGTATACAGAGTAAAATTGGATCATTTTCCATGATCCAAAACACATGAAAGCGACATAGCATACATCTCCGGTTGCATGATGATCATATACTTCATCCCTTGATTTTTTTTCTTTGATTTGTACCATGATAATGCTTTTATCATGTTTCTGAGACATTATTATGCATGTTTGATTCATCGGTGTGACCCCATGCAGCCGAAACCAGGAGATGCCATGGTTATACCGTTTTCGTATCACCTTCCCTATAATGGCCAGATCGTTGTGTTTTAGCTTTCTAAAACACTCCCATTAAATTTGTAGCCTTTAATTTGGGGGAACAGGGATTTGTTTAATGGCTAATGATGTTTGTTTCACAGGTTGAGTGGAGAGGATGACCGAAGAAAACAACCGGAGCTAGGGCTCTCGCGCCTCTCTGGTTGATATACGTTGTTTAATATCAAATATTTATTGTTTCAAGTTTTATAATGGATGTAACGGCCGCCCCAGCGGTAGAGCGAGTGTTGTTAAGGCATTGGTATACCAGGGCACGGGTTCAATCCTTGCCCTAGGTATTTTCATTTTCATGTTTTCTCATTCACAGATTCAATGAAAGCAGTCCAACACACATGTTGTGCACCTCTTCTCATCACCAGTGAATCTCCATAATTCTAGATCCAACGCTCAGATACCATGACCATGACGCACCTCCTGAATTCAATCACATGGGATCATGCAGGCAGCTGGGCCAACACATTTGGACCTACTCATTTTATTTTTCTCACACCCCCAGATTACTTTTATTTCAAGCCCATTTACTTCTCTTTTTTTCTTCTTTATATTATTTCTATTATTTTCTTTTTTATCAAAATAAAAACACAATTTTTGAAAATAAATAAATAATCAAATTGATAAAATTTTATTTAATATTATTAATTATTTTATTAATTAATTTCATTAAATAAAAATGATTTAGTTTATTTAGTAATTTAATTAATTAGGTTTTCTAGGCTTAAATTAATCAAATTATTTTTAATTAATTAAGTAAAATTAATTAGATTTTTTAGAATTAATCAGAAACATTTCTTTTTCATAAAAAACAACAAAACAACATTTCCTTTCCCGTCGATTCCAATGTTCCCTTTGATGTTACGTTTGCAAATTATTTTTTTATCATTTATGTAACTGCTAATGGTCTGTAGTTGTCTTAATTAGGGTTTACCTATTTCTTTCCATGTTTTATGGATTTGTACCCCCCTTCCCTGAAGCTCTGTAATAGTAAAGATTTATTTTTCCGCAATTTACTACTTTCCTTATTCTTGCTAGTTTAATAGGATAGTATGGCAAAGACTAAAAGACAACGCTAGATAACCATAAATCCAAGATAAATTAATTGAAATCAAAACACTATTCACACACGCACCTCTAGGGTGACCCCACTGTTGCCTTCGGAAAAACAATCATCTCCCTCGAACGTAGGG